AAAATTAAACAAAATAAACATCTGAAATATATGAGTTAGTATGTAATGTATGAATATAATATACAAGTTTCACTTTTTAAATTGAATTACTGAAATCAATCTACTTTTTCATGATATTCTAATTTTATGACCAGCACCTGTAGAGGGGGGAAAATATTTTCAGTCGTACCATCACAAACATAAACACAAAACTTTTTTTTTTAAGTCTTTAGATGGAAGCCTGCTGTCTTGTGAAAAGTGTAACCAGTTTCCACAACAGACAATTTAGATCAGTTTGGCATGTAAAACACTGTGTCACTAAGAAACGCGGAAAAAAAAAAAGTTCTTAAAGCTATAAGAGGACGATCTTTTATTTCTGGGTGAATGATCTAAATAAGTGGTCCTCCTAATTGTCATTCATCCTGGTTTTCATAAGGCCGTCCTAGTTATCTTTTTCTGCACATGCGCACTTTCTGGTGTATATGTGCGGTGAGCTACGGTTTCAGAGAGTCATTGAAGCTCACCTTTCACATCGTGTGTCACAGTCTTGATTCTGTTATGTTTTACTTTACTCCATGTTTTATTGGTTTAATTCCTATTTTGTTGTATTTTCTGATTTCCAATGTTTTTATTTGTTTCCCTCTGTTGCCCTCTTGTGTTAGTTTTCCCTAGCTCCTTCCTTTGTTGCTCTGTTCACACCTGCTCCCAATCTGCTCGTTAGTCCTCTCTTTGTTCAGTCTCCCATAAATACACTCCTTGTGCAGTTCCTCAGTGCTGGTTCCTCGTCTTACTTCACCTTACCTTGTCTCACCTCGTCTCACCTCATCTTACCCTGTTTTCCCCTGATATCTCCATGGTTCTGGTTTGTTTTATATTTTTCATGTTGGATTTTGGATTTTTGGATTCCCGCCTCTGTTACCTGTGTTTATTTCATTAAAGCTACAAAGACTCACCTCTGCCTCCCTTGCCTCTGCATTTGGGTCTTCTAACCTCAACCAAAACGTGACACCGTGTTTCCTTGAAAATGGCCGAGGGTCGTAAGAGAAAAAGTGTCTATGAAGTGTATGAAGAGAAAAGAAAGGCCTCAGAAGAGGCTGATATATCCTAGAATGCTTTGTGTGGAGACCTTTCCTCGCAATTGTTATAACTAGAAATTTCTGGGACCAATGGGACTCAAAAAGCAGTAAACATCTGTCCGAAGTCCAGTTATCTGAGTTCGCTATGAAGTCCACTATATCGCCCCACTCTGTGTAGTGATTGAGAGATTTAGACGTTAGAAGGGACATTCGGACACAGTAAGCTTGTAGGAGCTATGAGAACAGCAACTCTTAAACAAAGCATGCACAAGGAGAAATGGGCTTGTGCATGCTCTTGCACGCATTTAATAGGCGTTCCCTCTAGGGAGCGGGTACAGGGTTGTGCATGTGCCTTTTTTTTAAGTGGAGAGGGTGGGTCTTTAAAAAAAATCACGAAAAATTCTCCACAATACCTTTAAGTACAACAAAAGATCTGTGATGCTGTTGGTCGGTAATCTGTCAATTACATCATTCACAAATCTTTGGAAGTTTTACAGGAGAAAAATTAATCTTTTGGCAAAAAGTTTTAGCAACTATAATTTTGCTTCTGGGATTTTCTATCATTTCAAACAAGGGTAAAATAAATTTTGCCTGCACAATATGGGAGTTGGACCTCTGCAGTCTCCTTAGCCCCTTCTGTAAAGTTTTTTTGTTTTTGTTTTTTGCTCAAATAAATACATTTTCTTCCTAAAGAAATTCTCACATGTGGTTCAGCTCATGTTCATACATTTCATCTGTTCACACCATATTACATCTTAATAGCCCTCAAATAACAGCCATAGCGTCTTTGTTCTCTTCGTAAAACAGCAGGCCATCAAAAATCCCTCTGTGTTATTGTATAGACTGTGAGTCACAACATGACAAACACTTTTATAACAACATTCATGTTGTCTAAGAAACAGAGCTTACCTGTTTAAAGAGGTGATTCACTCAAATTATGCTCTGGAAAGAGACTGTTTTCTGTAAACACTGTAAACGGTTTATGTGGAGTTTCCCTGATGTGCTCATGTGTTGTGATCTTGTACAGAGACTGTTGTATGTGCAAAGCATGACATGTTATCATCTCAGTTCCTAGTTTCCCTTTGGGTCCCTTTTTTTTTTTTCTCTAAGTGTTTAAATCCAAATGTTCGGCTTTCATCTGTTAATCTGAGCTGTAAATAAATCAACTGTGAACACCCACAGATGTACATTTGTTTGCCATACCAGCCAAACAAATATCTTCCCTGATGCAAGGAGACAAGAAAGAAACAAGAGAAACAAAAACAGAATGAACATCAAGAGACAAAGGAAGCACCTAACGGAAGCAAAAGCCCCTTCTTGTTGCACACCTTTGTAGGCAGCCTTTTTTGCAGCCCACCTTAGAAAAACATCCGTGCCCCCACACGATGCTGAGCCTTGTGTTTCCTTCTGTCTTTAATCTTTGTGAAAGGAGCTTTTAGCTAGGCCAGGGAGGATGAGTGGATCTGTCAAAGCAGAACAAAGACAGGGAGGAACATTGAAGGATAACAGCAGAAAGGGAGGCTCTGTAATTTATCACCTGTTGCCCTTGGGCTGCCCGGCACAAGCTCTGGGCTTTTTATTTTTTTTTGGTAAGTTTGTGTGCATGTGTATAAACGAAGGCATGAGGAGATGATGAATGGATACAGGAGAAAAAAGGACACAGTTATAACTCGCTCCTAAAAGGAAACATTCGACCAAGGACATTCTGCATTCCTCCCTCTACCACAGGAGAATCCTGACATATTTATGCACTAGTTTGGACCCAACACATGGAGCCAAGTGGAGCAAAAATGGAAAAAAAAAAAAAAAAACTGCTGATGAGTTCCCATTATAGAAAAGAAAATAACACACAATTTTGTGTAGGAATTGTATTTTCTTTTAAATATGCACTAAGGCTTTAGTGCTTCCATGTTTACACTAGGTTAAATCCACAATGTGTTTCATTGTGTTTTCCTGCCACCCAGTGGCTTAGATATGAACTCATGAGAAAGACCAGTCAGACAGACAAAGGTGCAATTTAAATGCATTTGTTCTACTTGTAAAACTTTAAATTTGTCAACTTATTGATTTTATTGCATCTTTTTGTTTGTTATCTTGCTTTTACATTGGGGCTGCTGAGGGAGCATGGAATCCTATTGATGCTAGGCTGGTTTTAATATAACTTAGATGTGACTTGTGTCCCACTCTGGCTTCTATTTAGCCTTCCTATTTGCACAACTAACCCTTATCCTGTAACAGAATAGGCAATACTAAAACCCACTAAAAAAGTAGGTTTTGTTGTATTTGTTATTATTATTTGTTTAAAGCTGTTTATCAGTACCTATCTTTACATCTACTGAGGTGCTAAATATTACATGTTTGAGAACATCCTGATTGCCAATTCGTTTAATGACTTCAAAATTATTGATTAAACTTTTATAGTTCTCTCTGCTTTGTTCCATTATGAGAAGAATGTCAGCATAACTTATAAATTATATCTTTACATTTAATTGGTCAGTCTACAAAGCATTCAACTCCTGACAAATCACCATGTCATAAAGATTGTTAGGTCCTCAAACTAACTCTGCTTGGGAAAACCTACAGGTAAAATAAATCCCAAATATAATGCAAACCAGGACTAGGATATTCTTTTATTATTATCTGTTATTAGGCTACATATTGAATATAAATGTGAAATTAATTTTCTTGAATTACTAAAATGTTCTCAGAAGATTATGTCCAGAAATTTTAATAGTAATCAACATAGAGTGGCAGTTCTTGCATGTGTACACAGATGTTTATACAATGCATGGTGCCGTAATATCTTTGGCACACCGTGTTGACTTGACTTATTTGACTAAATTGTTAAGGAATGTTACAGTGAAATGCATTTTACTTTTGATCCCAAACCCGTTTTCTTTCTGAAATGAAGTTGGAAGATCATTTAAATCTGGAAAGGTGGGTGACAGCCAATCAATACCCAGTGGTGGAGCTAGATGGGGGGCCAGTGATGGCCTGGGTCACCCTTAGCCAATCATTGGCCACCCCTGCAGCCACCCCTACCATTTTTTCCCCTCTAATACAGACAGTAGCAGCAGTAATACTCTCAAGTGGAATATTCAAAACATTTCAAATTGTCAGATATTAATAATTACTTGACAACAAAAACACTGTGGTTAATTATGCACATTAAAATACTAACATTAAAGATGATAAGTACAGAATTCATGCTCTTTCCATAACTAGATTTTGTGTTTCTTAGGCCAATGAAAAAAATGATGTGTCTCAGCTAGGAGTCTTCAGTATAATCATAGATAAATAATTATTTTGATTTAAAAAAAACTTATTAAATAATCAATTTATGTAGACATTAGTACTTGTAAATAACAATTTTATCCGGAATGATTGTTGATAAAAGTAGGTAAGTAAAGACAATGGGAAAGATGTTCACCCCAGAACTCAAACCTGATTTTATCCACTATACCTTTTATCTAGAAAGCACGGAAGTTTAAATATATGCGTCTATTTGTTAGCAAAGGCTGTAGGAAAGTATAGTTTGTCTTTATTTATAAAATATGGATGTTTTACTCATTTATTTTCTTGCTGGAAGAGTGTAGATTGACCCTGAGGTTTTGGTGTCACCCCTCATTGTACATTGGTTATTGCCTAGCCACCCTAATAAACATTTTCTAGCTACTCCTCTGTCAATGCCGTCTAGTATGGCTCTGTGGCTGTTATTCTTTAATCGAAGCACTCCAAAAAAAATCACCTTTTCCCACCTAATTTGGAGATATTTATATATTTGTGTACAACATTTTACATACAAATCTTTAAAGTAGACATTACACTTCTGTAACTTTGCTTGACATACTGACAAAATAGACATTCAACAAAGTTCCAACTTTTCCACGATCACTTGAACGCAACATAGCTGGGACGTTCGTGACGTAAACACGCAAAGCACCGTGTATGGTTGTAGTCGCTACCGAGGAAGCTAGGAAGGGGATCAAGGAAACCTCTAGCATCTTAGATAAACACGCCGAAGACGTGTGAACCCGGCGGTCAGACAGCGCTAACAACACCAAAAAAAACCATAAAAGGGTCCTTGATACAGCGAGGGTCAACATGTCTGAGACATACGGTATGTTTGTGTATTTTAAATCGTGCTGTTACATGTTAATGACTGTCCTGTGCTCATAACTGACAGGTCGGCGCTTAGCAACGTCGCTAGCTAGCTCTGTGCGAATTGAACCTATGAGATGCTACCATGTTTAGAAGGAGTATTTTAAACGTGTAGCTGCCTTTTAACCGAATTATATTTCTACTTTGAGAGTTCTGCGCCTGTTAGCTGACACTAGAGTCCTGCTTTGAGGGATTCTGTTGCTCCATTAAGCAGCCAGTGTGATGTGAGTAAACATATGGTGAGACGTTACATGGGAAAGTTGACCAAACTTCTGCTAACAGCTATTGTCAGGTCAAAAAGAGAAGGTTGAGAGAATCACGTACGCTGGGTGAATTGATTTAAAGCCAAAGGTGTGGTTAATATTAGCTACAATGATGCTTACAGCATTTCGAGTCGTATCATTTTGACAGGAGCTAATATTTAGCTAAAGGCCGATAAATAGGAAGTTCAGTTACTGTGATCAGTCTGCTGAGTTACCTGTGGATCTGTAGCACCTCAATGTGGTGCGCATCAGTTCCTCTTTCTCTTAAATTGGGTGTTGTTGTTTTTTAAAATCTACTTCCAATCCTACAGTTTTAGTTGCTTAACTTTTTGTGCAAATATTGTCCATTATTCTTTTTTACTTCAAATCTAACCCATACAACAAAAGCACGATTTTTGTTTTTCACATGAATTGTTTTAAAACCATCACCTTCTCCCTTTGCACTCCCACTCACTCTGTATCCACTTATATTTCTTTGCTCCCTCGTTTCTTGTATGAAACTTTATCCATGAAGGCTGGATATATGTGGAAAATTGCCAGCACTAATGGTAGCTGTAATAGCCTCTTATTGATTTCTGCTCCAGTCTCACTACCTCGTCTTCTCTGGAGGATCAGTTGTGCCACTGGTGAAAGTATCATGAAGCAATAGAAACATTTACAATGTTTGCAGTTGGAATTCATGTCATTTTTAATTGCTTCTGTATTTCCCTACATCTGCACTCTTATGTTAGGTGGGGATATTTAAAAATGCAGCTTACAGAGAGGAAATCAAGGTTTCTTTACACTGAGTTAGTTTTGAAGTAGGATTAGAACAGTAGAAAAAAAAGGAAAAATCTTCGTAGTTTGACATTTTAACTCTCATCGGTTATCTAAATATTCTCCCCATCTATCCATCCATCCACTTGTTCATCTATCCTTTTTCCATTCACTCCTTTATACACCTATCCATGCACCCTTCTTTTTCTTTTCGACATCCATCCATCTATACATCTATCAATACATCGTCCATCAATTTACACGTTTTCTGTCTATGGCATTTGCCTGGCATCAGTGAGCCACTTATCTCTCTGTTTATTCGTCTATCTTTGCACGCTTTTCTTTCATGAGTGTCCTCCTTCTCTTTTCCTGCCTTACTCCTTCCTTTATCTGTACATCGTGAAAAGTCTGGAAAATGTATGACATTCAAACATGAAGTGTGTGTAGGACCTCCAAAACATTATTTACTGCATTTGTTTACGGTGGAAAACGTTAACTATTTTGCTAATGGTTAAGTTTAGGGCTAATGTTAATTGGGTTAGGGTGAGGAATGCATTGGTAATGGTTAGGTTTAGCCTTAGTTTTAGGGTTAGGGCATTGAAAGGTTTGAAAATGACTGAAAATCAGTGGGAGTCAACACATAAAAAATGAGGCATTTATTAATATTGTTGCACCGATACGATATCATTATCGGATGGGGCCCTGATCCAGCACTAATATGGTGGTATTGGCGAGTACCAACAAATAGAGCACCAATACCATTTTGAGAGCCAAAAGTTTATTCAACTATTGTCACCCATTCTAGGTTGGCAATAAAAAGTTCTACTGGATTCACTTTGTATTAGTCTGTTTCCTGCTTCACAACGGTAGGAAGCAGCTTGACGAAGCCATGATGGCAATTATTTTACATCCAAGTAGTATGCAGTTCTTCATATATACACACACATCACTTTCAAATAGATGGTATCGGTATCGGCCAATACTGCACAGCCAGGTATCGGTTTGGGGGCCAAAAAATGGCATTGGCGCAATACTATTAATTATTAAATCATCTTTATCTCTTATCTACCTTTGCTCATCTTAAAGGAATAGCACACCCAAAACATGATTAGCCTTCATTTTCTACTCACCCCCATGCTGAACAACACTCTGCAGTACTTTTTTGATATCTCAAATGCATCTGGAGATCTGGGAGGCTTCTTGCTGTCTGCTGACATTCAAATAATGGAGGTCCATAGCGCCCGAGGCAGAAAGGTCCATAAAAGTCTACAAAAAACGTGTCAATATTCCTCCATACTGCTCGTCCAATGTATTCCAAGTGGGTAGCGTCCATAATTAACTCGAAACGAAGTCATTTAGAATGTTTTTAGAGCATAAACAGTAGTTTATAGGATTTCCTAAAAGCGCGTTCACGAGTCTACGGAAACCGCGGCAGACCAAACCGGAAGAAAGTGCGCATTCAGCGTCTGCTCTGCCGATAATGCAAGCGTAGAAGAAGAAATGTGCTGTTTACCTGTGCAAAGAAAGAAACAACGAAAGAAAAATGTCTGAGGACTTCAGTGTTGAGGAAGAGCATGAGTTCTTTGCCGAGCTGAATGCGCACTTTCGTCTGGGTTGGTCTGCCACGGTTTCCGTAGACTCGTGAACGCGCTTTTAGGAAACCCTATACACTGCTGTTTATGCTCTAAAACATTCTAAATGACTTCGTTTCGAGTTAATTATGGACGCTACCCACTTGGAATACATTGGACGAGCAGTATGGAGGAATATTGACACGTTTTTTGTGGACTTTTATGGACCTTTCTGCCTCGGGCGCTATGGACCTCCATTATTTGAATGTCAGCAGATAGCAAGAAGCCTCCCAGATCTCCAGATGCATTTGAGATATCAAAAAAGTACTCCAGAGTGTTGTTCAGCATGGGGGTGAGTAGAAAATGAAGGCTAATCATGTTTTGGGTGTACTATTCCTTTAAACTCAGACTCTTCAATAATCTACAAAAGAAGCACCTTAATAACTAAATTCTAATAGAAATCCTAAATTGCTCATGTATTCTTAAGATTTTAGCATAGCTAAACTGCTGCTCTGTTTTCTGATTTTTTTTTAACCTTTTGTTATGTTGAAACCAGACTTCAGTATAATTCATTCAGATTATTGAAGCAAACCACCAAAGTGAAACCACCTGGTAAAATGAAAGTTAAAATGAGAAATGGCATTCAAGATATTTTAGAAATGAAATCTGAAAAGCATGAAGTGAAAATGTTTTCACCCTTCTATATTGACCTGGTTTCAAAACAGAAGAAAACCTGAAAGCAAACTTGGGGAGGAGGCCCATGTAAATAACTATAGACCTGATGCTAGGGCTTTAATTAAATAATTTAAATAAAAAGTTTACTCATGTGTTAGTTTGGCTCTGTCAAATCTCAGACCAGAGCCATTTGGTTTCCCACTTCTGAAATATTAACCAAACCTTGTAGAGTCTAGCTTACATGCAGTGTTAATGGATTAGTGGGGTAACTGGAGTTTAGTCGATGCTGTGAAAGTTCTTGCTTTAACAGGATTAGGAGTTTATCTCAAGATTGTCTTCCTGGCAAAGAGCAGCAGCAGGTCTTTCACCTATATCGATACGTTGCATTGAGTTCTACCTCTGCTTCTCTTCTTGCAGACTTCCTGTTCAAGTTCCTGGTGATCGGCAGCGCCGGGACGGGGAAATCCTGCCTCCTCCACCAGTTCATCGAGAACAAATGTAAGCCTTAGTGAAAAGAGGTCATCAGCCCGATGTGAGGTTACACAACTTCCTTCTGGGGAAAAAGTATTATTTTGCTGACTGATATGAATGAAGCTACAAAGAAACCATCTGTGCCAGTCTACTAAGCATTTAGTGCAGGTTACTGTTAAATTTATATATATATATATAAAACAGCACAACTCAATGGCCTTTTATCAGAGTTTTCTGCTCTGTCATTTTTATGGTATTTTATGAAGATTAATCTTTTTATCATTTAGAGCTCAATAAAGTTTCCTGAACGTGTTATTTCTAAAACTACAGTGACTGCTTTGACAGAAAAGAACATTATAGTGTCATAAAAGTCAGGCTGTGAAAGAATGTTTAATAAACCCGTCATTCAAAGAGCAAGAGGCTCTTTGTGAAACAATATATGAACTGTTGAATGTTAAAACTGTCAAAATAAGGTTAGCAGAACAGTCCGCTCCAAGATTGACACTTAAAGGAAACCTGATAGTTGAAACTTAAGATTTTCCCTTCATTTTTTGAATCAAAATAAAGAGATGTACAATGCAAAAAACTATGTTTTGGCTTTCACAGATATCAGATTTGTTTTTTACACACAGCAGATTTGGATGTCAAAGATTAGCAGCATAGATGTTCTCACTGATTGAAGGTTGAGGATTCTTGGCTTCCCTTCTTTATTCTAGCACCTCAAAGCTCAGACTTGGACTAGGCCAGTCCAAAAGCTCTGCTATCATTTTGATCCACTCCTATGGATACAATTTGTCACCTTAAATCATTAACACCGACTTTTAATTGGGTTATTTAAGGACTGCACTGCTTTTAGGATTATTTTGGCTAGGTTGCCACTTCAGGACTGTTCTGTGTTTCCTCTATTGATACTGGTTCTCAGTGCTGTCCTAAAGCTATATGACCCCTATCCACATTTATTTATGACTATTTACTCAGTTTATCTTTTTCTGATATTGAGGTTTGAGGATCTATCAATCTTCTGTCAGTTTCCTGCAGGCTCTCATGTGAATAAGTGTTTTTGAAGGTTGCTCTTCTTTTAAACAAACACGGCACATTCAGTAGTGAGACGGTGGGAACCCTTGTAAAGTGGTTGTCTTTCTTTATTGCTCCGCAAACTAAATAAATGTGTCATGTTTTTGTTTTTTAAACTCTTGTCGTTCTACCTGTGCAGTCAAACAGGATTCCAACCACACCATCGGCGTGGAGTTTGGTTCCAGGGTGGTTAACGTCGCGGGGAAGACGGTCAAACTGCAGATCTGGGACACAGCCGGGCAGGAACGATTTCGGTAAGGCGTCAAGAAATGTCCTGCTACAACGTAGCCAGTAGTCTAGTTGTTAAAAAAAAAAAAAAAAAAAAGAAGAAGAAGGGGGATGGTGGATTTTTTTTTTTTTTGGGAAGCATACATAGCCTAAATAATATAATCTACTAACCTAAAGCAATATGCATGGTATGGTTGTTACATGTCAGGCAAACCGGTCATTTACCTTGACGAAGGAACCTTGTACTGACATGGCTATCACTGCCTCTACATAGTTAGGGACAAATTTCCCACTGGGATCAGCTTTATAGTCATGGTGGCCCACTTCTTTGATTTTATTTATTTTGCTCAGGCTACTCGTAAGCCCACAGCCCGCCAAATGTTGAAATGGCAATATTATTGCCATTACTGTTAATATATAGTAGAAATTCTACACATTCAGCAAAGAAATTTCAAAGATGATGGTATGGGGGGATGGTCATTTAAGAAGGGGGATGATTTTTTAGATTTATATAAGAAGGAGAATGCCATTCCCCCCCTCAACTCGAGTACTGAACATAGCCAGTATGTCAGTGAGGTCAAGGCCCAGCGTGACCGTTTGATTACTGTCAGAAATGACTTGTGTAATTAAGTCGATGATGATTTTCAGGATGTATTAATAAAATTTTTTTTCTGGATCTCATTATTGTATCTCCACAGGTCTGTGACACGTAGCTACTATAGAGGAGCAGCTGGAGCACTCCTGGTGTATGACATCACCAGGTACAAAAAAAATAAATCCTGCACCAGTACGAGTACGAGTACGAGTACTGCTTTTTGTGTTCTTTTCAGTGACGGTATGTGGAAATGAAAAATGCGTAACAGCTGCAGAAACTGTGTTTTTAAAACATCTTCACCTCCCTAGTTGTACATATAGAATATTGAGTCAGAATATATCGAGAGGGAACCCCGAGTCAGCGCTATTTAAAAATGAACCATCCCCCCGCCTCGCGTTTCTCAGACTCAGAACTCAGATTCACTTTGACTGTGCTCAACGCTAGAAACTACCAAGGTCGTCATTTTGACGGTTCTGAGATTATAAAGGAAAAGTTTATTTACATGCATCACATGTTGCTCATGTTATCTGACTTTTCATGTTTTCTATATTTCCTTCGTTTTCACGTATCATTTTTAATCAAATGAAAACTTAAAAAATAAATATGGTTAATTTTACTTCAATCTCCCACAGCCGTCATTTTGACGGCTCTATTAGTGGCATTATAAAGTCTTCCCCCGGATGATTGACGTTGGATACCGTTGCCTAGCAACCAACATTCTACCTAGAATTTCTTGGCTAATATGGAAAAATTGAAGAAATTTAACCGTGAAACGGGCTTTAGAAATGCTTCAAAATATTGACAATAGTGATTCGGGCAGAGAGGGAGAGACCGATGATGATGAGTGGTCAGTAGGAAGTGGCTTAAATTCTGACAGCGTGTCCAAGGATAATCGTCCACCCACGGGAAAGTGCAGACTGTATCAGTGACCCATCAGACAATAGTGAAACTTTTGTTCAAGTTTTGGATAGCACTGCCCACACCTGAGCAGGTCAGTGGGAGTTCTAGTCAGATCAGAATTATGGGAGTCCTAGTGTTTAAAAAACAGTTGAACTGAGGCTCTCCAGCCTGCCAGCAGCAGGATAGTGTCCAGTTTGGAAGAATAGCTTAAAGGTTGTTCTGTCAAGCCGAAGCGGCCAATAGTAAGAGCTTTTTTTTTTTTATTGCACATATGGGAGTTATGAACCTCCCCAATGAAGTAAAAAGCATTAAAAAATAGGAGTTGGTTTAATAGGAAAGGGGCAAATAACAGTATGGGTGCAGCAGGGAAGAAAAACTAAAGAAGTAACCTATGAACTAAGATTCAGATTGAGTCGCCTTGTTTCATCACTTTCTGGCGTTACATCAGCCTGTGCGTGTCAGTGAAAACAGCTGTTAAACATTAATACGTCAGCCTCCTCCCTTTTCCTCACCTCACTGACCTCATGTTACCATAGAAACAGGCTGTTTCAGAACAGTGTCAGGGATGAATATTTACAGCCTGACATGTCAAGTTAGACATAATCTTTGTTTTGTTTTTTTGCGCTGCAGTGATTTTCTAAAGTATTCACAACCTTTAAAACTTTCTACATTTTTCACTAGACCTACAAATGTATGGTGTTTTATTTTGATGGGAAAGTGACATTGCTCTGCAAACGCAACTGTAAGTAGTTTCAGCAGAGTAGTTCAGGCTCAGCCTTACTAGATGGGTTTTTTTGCTGAATTGAATATGACTCATCTGACCAGGGCAGCTTCTTCCACTCGTTCCAGGATACCAACAGGGCCAATTCTCCTGCCTCCCAAAGTCCCTGACTAGATTTATCTTTCCTTCACCTTTTTGTTTAGATGGACAACCATGTCTGAGAAGGTTTGCAGTTCAGCCTTACTCTTTTATGTCCAGATTGCTAATTAAAGATGGCTAATTAAGGTTTAGGATATTGTGTAATCAAACTAGGGCTCTACAATTTGGCCAAAAACCAAAATTGCTATTATTTTTCAACTCATTTTGCAAATACAATTTTATTACGATTTTCTTAAGCAGTAAGAACAGGCATGTAGATGTTTCACTACAGGGAGTCCTTTTTTTCATGGCCTTGAAAGCTTGCTTGTCCAGAGTCCATGGTTGCAGGACTTTACTCTAACCTGTGCGTTGTTACTTCTATGATCATGAAAGAATCGTCCCTTCCGGCTGGAGGCAAACCCTCTTTAAGTGCTGTACTGCCACCTAAGGGGCTGGAGAGAAAAATGTAATGACTAAAACTGACTCCCTTTATTATTTGAAAATTGCATTCTACTAAATTGTGATTATATTGCTAAAACAATTAATTGCAGGGTCCTAGTTAAAACCATGCTAATTGGTTAACTGAAGGAATTTTGTTCCTATGATTTTATGCAAAACACAAAGGGCGAATGGGAATGTATTGCACACTTTAAAAAAAAAAAATAATAATTTGCATAACTACATTCATGCAAAAATGTTTTGTTTGTGGCATAAAGTGACAATAGAATACAAGTTTGTAGTTTTAATCCAACAATATATATATAAAAACATTTGATCATTTAGTATTCTAGACTGACACTAAACATCAACCTTCAACTTTTTGTGTTGCAGCCGTGAAACTTACAACACACTGACTAACTGGCTGACAGATGCACGGACACTGGCAAGCCCCAACATCGTTATCATCCTGTGTGGAAACAAGAAAGACTTGGATGCAGAAAGAGAGGTGACCTTTCTGGAGGCCTCGCGATTTGCTCAGGAGAACGGTAACCCACCTGGCAATAATCTTCAAAGCATTTTCGAATATGTTTGTCTTTCATGATCTGCCTGAACACTTTTTTTATTTGCCCCTCTTGTCCTGTTTTTACCTTGTATAATGTTCCTGTCCGTACACAGAGCTAATGTTTCTGGAGACGAGCGCCCTGACAGGTGAAAACGTGGAGGAGGGATTCTTGAAATGTGCTCGCACTATCCTCAACAAGATAGATTCAGGTACACTCTAAAGTTGTTTGTTCTGTAAGAGTTTGCACATGTTTTTGTTTATATTTAATTAGATTTTTAAAGCAAGTACTAGAGAGTTTTTATCATTTTGGTTTCCTTTTGAAGGGGAGTTGGACCCAGAGAGGATGGGCTCAGGTATCCAATATGGAGACGCATCACTGAGGCAGCTTCGACAGCCGAGAGGCACGACGACACAGAACAAGCAGCAGTGTAACTGCTAGGGATGGACTCCTTGCTTAGTTGATCTCACAGGCCCAAACAGACAGCATGCCTCTTCCAGGTAGGTAACGCCATGAACCGAGGCGCCTCAGTGGAAACCAGCTTCCCCTGAAACTAACGACGATCTGTTTCTTATGCAGCTCATCTCCAGGTGTTTTTGGGTGTGTGTGTGTGGCTGTGGTTTCACACACTTTAGATCACCTGGATAAGTGTTGGTGGGAGGACTACTTTGACCTATGACCTCTGGTAAGCCTCTTAACCTGAGTGGTTCAGGTTTGAGCCTGCATCTCAGAGTGAAGACGGTTGGATATCAGAGAAGACGCTCCCTCATGTCAGAGGTTGTCTGTATGAGCTTCTATGCTGTTATTCCTTCTCTTTGCTGTTCCACGCTGGTTTTAAGCAATCCTAAGATATTTTGGGCGTTTGCACATCACTGACTATAAACGATGATTGTGAAGCTACTTGAAGCATTTAAATCAGCTGATATGCCTCGTGATTAGTCAACTAACAGTTTGTAACAGATAGTGATTCTGTGATTAACTGTCTAAATGTGCACTCTGAAAGGAGGTCCTCTTCTTTCTAGTTTGACTTCTTGCGTTCAGGTGTCAATCACATGCAATGCCCCAAGAAATCCACACAAAGAGATCTGTGGTTATTAACGAGTAATTATCTTTCCTTCCCAGAAAATCAGAAAATTGAAGGTGTTTATCAGTGGGTTCAGGTGGATATAAATTGTGCAATCATAAAGAGTTGGAAGTGGAAACTGCTCAGGTTGTTCGTTCCAAATGTGATGATGTAGAGGTGTGGCTTTTTGTTATTGTAGATAAATCGACAGTTTCGGTCAGAAGTTTACATCCTTTCATCAACCGCCTGTATTAACTAGGATCTTTTTTATTTCTTGGATAGATTCCATGTAATCACACAATGGCAACAATTTAAAAAAAAAAATGAAGAGCACAAGTTTGGATTTTTATAATCCAGACAGGGTTGGAAATGTTTATAAGAATAAACCCTGTCTGGATTCTAAAAATGAAAGACTCTATCTGGATGTTTCGTTCCTCTTTTTAGAAACGTCAAAGCTAATTTAATTAGCACAGATTCAGCTTTGAAGGACAGCTAATATGTTTTCAGTAGGGTTGAAGTCAGAACCATTCCCGAAGCTTTATCCAATCCTGAACCAGTATTGATGTGTTCTGAATCATTGTCCCATTAAACCATCCTGTTGTGTCCAGGTTTCAACCTTCTAACTGTTGATGTGATAAAAAGTTAAGGAATTTAGGGCTAGTCAACAATCTTCATTATTTAATCCACTTTAGGGAATGCATCAGCATATATTATAACAGAACAGACCACAGCACAATGCTGTCACCACCATTTTCTTTGGTTTGTAAGTCTCACCATGACTTCTTTAAACATGCTCCTCATTAGAGGTCAAACATTTAAACCCGCGGCTCTAACTTCAGATAAGCCTAAAAGTCATGACGCTGCTGCAGGAGTTCGTTTCTTAAACACTGCTGTACAAGCTGCCTTTAGATTATAGCAACCCTCTGGAAAATTCTACCCTTTTCATTTCATTGGGGCTGACAGTTTTTTTCAGAACTTTTAATACAAAAGAATATCACAAATAATCATCAAAAGTGGGTTTTAAATCAATAAAACTTACAAATACCTTTTTTTTTTCACTTTATCACTTTCAACCCTATTTAAAATGTATTTTATGTGCTTGGATCTGTACCTAAATGCGCTCTACCAGATCAGCCAAAATGAGCGGTCCAGTATCCAGTCCATGTTGCTGCAGAAGCTTGTCGATCTTTAGAAAGTGTGCAGTCTCTGCAGCTTTATAAATGACAGTCTTTCAAATATTATTTAGAATACATGTATATATGTGAACCTATATGTACAACTTAAATATGTACAGATTAGACAAAAACTTAAGCTCCAAATGATTTTTTTTTTAAGATCCTTTAAGTTTTATGTTCTAAACATGTATACTTGTATATACCCTACAGGAAATAGTTGATTTAAATTATTTTGGGCCTAAAATGAAGGATCGTCATGCTAATGTTGACAGTATTTAAATTTCTGACCTAAGCTGTTTTTATGGCAAATTGTCGCTCCAATTTAAAGCAAAAAGCACAGCAAAAAAGGAAATGTTTGATTTCCAGAGGTACAAACATCCAAAGATTGAGCCTCATTAGAGAATGACCTCGTCAAGACAGTATTGCTGCTGCTCTACATGCTAATGCTGGACCAGGAATGTGATGATGGTAAGCACAGTTCTGTCATAGAAGCTCAGATTCTGCATGAGGCTCTGCCATCGTTTAATAATGCCTGGTTGTGAGGGTGCAATGATAATTTAGGATTCTACGTGTTTGCAGGCGTACAAATGATTAGCTGAAGCATCTGATCCGCACTATGAAGAACTATTACAGTCATCTGGACAAAAAAAAAACATTTGAGAATAGAGTCTATGTATATTTAGAAGTGTGATAGGTTGGTAAAAAAAAAAGTCATATCTTGAAAGTTAATTTTAAAAATGAGGGAAAAAAGATAGAATATCGAGAAAAAACAAACTGTATCAGAATTATTTTCAAAATCAATGTACAAAAAATACTTTTTGCAAAAAGACCAAACAACCTTTAAAGTAGAAATATTAAGAACGGACTAGAAATACAAAATGCCAAAATTGCTTTCCAAAGAATCTGAAACGAAACTAAGATTAAGAGTTGAAATCCTGGAGGGGGATTTATTTCCCAAGGAAAAAGTTAAAATAACGGAAAACAAAAATATGTTGAGACGGTAATCGTTTAACCAAACAAAAACCAGAGCTGCTTTAATTCCACACAGCAGTTCCAGCATATTCTCTCCCCATTGCAATCAAGACTTTACATCCAATTTCGAGATATTTTAACTTGTCTGACTCTTAAACAAATAACCCAGCTTTAGAGAAAAACAGTTGTAGAAAACATCTTTGCTTTTGCAGTTTAAGTGAGCCAACTCAGGTCATTCATTACTTTGTGGAAAAAGAATTCCTGACTTTCCAGGGTAAGTGGCTTTCCTTGGTCATAGGATCACTGAGTCAGATATCATAACTTAATAAACGTAAGGTTAAAGGTGCAACCTGTCCTGAGGCTAAATCTAAACATGCTCCCAGCTGATATATTTCTTTATCCTCATTTGTTTTTGGGGGTTTTTCCCCTCTAGCCTCATAGTAGACATTTATCCCAAAGTGAGTCTTTGCAAACACAATGGTTTTAGAATATCAAAAGTCAAACAGTGAAAATGTGTTGCTTTACATCAGTCGAGTCTGTCCTCTCTTGAAGTGCACTTTTACAGTTTTATTTCCTAATATGCTGTAACTATAGAAATGTACATTTTATTTTACTTGAAAAGTATACTGTAATAAAGATTTTAATGTAGACGCTATCAGCTCATATTGTAAAACAACTGAGATTCCTAACTTCGGTCTCCTTGTATTTGCTGACTCCCCTTGTTGACTGTGAGAAAGCAGCCAATTCCTCCTGTTTATACACATTTATTATTTCTTGTTTTAATGCAACTAAATGGGAGTTTAATTTGCATTTATACGTGTTTTTTATTTCTTAAAGCATCATCAGAAGGACAATGAAAGCATAAGTTCTTGATTAGTCTGGACTTGCTCCATTGGTAAACACAACCCTGACTCAGTTGTTTTGTAAATGATGTGATAAAGGCTGCCCAAATGTGTACATTTTAAGTATAACCTAAGCTGTAAATAAGATTTGTCTATTGTCTTATGAGGTTTGAGTATTGCTCATTGTTTTAATTATGCAATTCCCAATAAACTGCTTGTTTTTCATTGAAAGCGTCATTTGATTTATTTTTCTCTTTAATGTGAATGAGTTCTGGGGCATAAACCAGTCCCCCTGCAGCCGCCCTCCCCCTGGATGAAGAAATGTGAGCAGCGTCTACAATTCAGATTTATCGGCAGTTGGCTCGATGGTGCATGAAATTTCACAATGGAGTCTCAGTAGTTGATTCATTTGCTCAGCCTGCCATTCTTCTTCCGAGTCGTTTCTCTCAAAGGCCATCAGGTTGAGGTTAGGATATCAGAAGTCGCACACGATAAAGAGTGAATGCCCTCCGTGTCCAATTGTCTGGATTTATGCTCCCAGGTCGATAGTGTAACGACTAGGGGGAGCTTAATGTTGTTGAAGTGGGTACATTGACTGATATATTGATTGTACACCTGCTGTCGAGATGACCTCATAACCATACAGCCTGATTTATGACATGAGGTTTGACCACTAGATGGTGCTAAATGGTATCTAGAAAAATATCTGGTACCTGATTGTCCTTTATCCTTTTTTGCAAGTAAAAGTAGTTAAAAGCAAACAGTTCAGTGTATTTAAAAGACCTTTATCTTAAATGGGATGAAATTTTGTTTAATTTTGCCAATTTTTCAATCTTAGCATTTGATTTTTATTAAGGCTAACGCCTCAGCTGGGTAGTTAACCCTTTAAAGCCTGATCTAAGAATAAAACAAAACAGAATATTTTTTTTGGTTTGAAGTCCTTATTTGGCCTTTTAACAAAATAAGTCAAAAGAAAAAACAGAAATAGATTTTTGATATTAATTTATTACTATGTGATAAGTCAAGATTATTTTTTTTTGTAGTCTTCTGCCCTCTGTTATCAGGTATATCTGATTCTGTACAATAGGATTTTGAGCAAAGTTTTTACCATTAAATTATGCAAAAGGTGTCAGACGCAAAACATTTCAGAAACCGTATGTATTAAATATGATACATTTGGCATTACAGGGTTAAAACATCTTAGTTGTGGGATTGGGAGTAATGATAATGAAGGGAGATCCTCCACCTTAGTTTCAAATAATTCAGTCAAGATAGTTTTTTTTCTATTACCCGATTCCAGGTTTGCTTTGTGTCTAGCTCCATCAATCTTCAAATCAAATTTAATCAACTTTCTCAGCCCTGCTCAATTAAAGCATCATGATGCTGTCACCACCCTGCTTTATTATGTTGATGTGCAAGCTTCGTTTTCCATTATACCTAGTATTTTACATGCTGAAAAAACTGTTTAGTTTGACCAGAGAGCTGGTTGCTCTGTCACCTCCATGACCCAAGGCAACATTTCAATTTGAGTTTGCCTGGATTTTTCTACAACTCTGCATAAAAGCCAGACGTCGAGTGCAAAACTCTAAGCTGTTCTGACCAGTTACCTTAGATGGATTCTTGGTAGGTTTGTAGTTGGGACGTTCTCATTTAAAAAAAAATGGATTGAATATTATTTATAAAATACAAATATAGATGTTTTAATTTAGACAGGTGTTTTTTTTTTTTTTAGATTTGTCTGGTAAACAGCAAATAACAAAAATGCAATCCATGTTTCAGATTTTCATTTGAAAGATTCAAAAGAAAATGTTTTAGACCAGCACTACAATGGAGATAAAATGAACTGAAGAAAATTTCTGTCACCTTCACAAGAAGTAAAATTATTTCAGATGTAAGAATGTGTGTTTTATGACAACCAATCACCCCGACTCTTCACATACACCAATGAAACAGTCTGATCAATTTGTTTATTTACACGAAAAAAATGGGCTTACAGATGTTCAGCTAGAGACATATAGGTTCACAAGTAGGGAAGTGGTACATTGTTCACTGTTGTTTAATCAATAATAAAATGAGATCAGGTTTGCAACTAGATATGGTTAAAATTAGAATATGACATTTTCAATTTCATATATTTAAGTCCAGCAAAGACACATGTATAAAAGCAGATTGTTTTATCCAACTTCACAAGGGAGTTTAAATGTATTTCAGCTTTATGCAGTGCCAAAGGAATGTATGGATCCATAACGTCAGAACAACTTTGTTATGATTAAATTTCACAATAATTCACACAAAATGCACTGTATTAACACACAGACCATACCAAGCTAACATCACATAACTGCCTTATGTAAAATACACTGCATGTCCAAGTTTCATCTTCATTGAAGTGTTTTAAGAGGGACCAACAAGCACCTAGTATTTAAATGAAAATCGGTCACTGATAAGCCATCATATCATCTTAGAATGATGCCTGACAGCTTAGGTTAGCATAACTGTTCAGTGATAAACTGGCTGTGCTGGGTTAATTGCTCTAAGCGCTTTCTACTTGAAATGAGAGTTGGATATAAATGCTAATGAGCCTTGAGGAGCACTGTAACACTCTCACGGCCATTTCATTTTGACTGCAAGGCTACAGCAAGTTTTCATTACACAACCATCATCTGTGGTCCACATTTCTGGTGCTTGTTAGCTAAAGTAGTGCCATTAGATAAATGTTTAGGTTAATGAGCAACAGAAGAGGGGTGAAGCTTTTCATACTAGTCTCCACAGTGCGATAACATGAATGTATTGATTTTCTGGTTACTACATATGTTTTCTGCACCCACTGAATGAGAGGAAGCAAACAGAACACAAAGAAGACTCCCACTTGGTTAGGATTTGAAACATTAACAAGTGGAAGGATACTCTGTTCGCTTACAAACCATGACAGCTGTTCCAGGTGCAGAATATTGCAATATATATACGTCTATGGCAAACAGTGTAGTTTACCTTCAATAACAATATGTAAACAATATTAAGTATATTTTCTAAATAGCTCCTGCTTGGGTTTCGGTTAAGAGATGGCTCTGTGGGAGCAGGGGCGTGGTTGCTTTTCGGACGAATAGAAACAGAAGAAGTTAGGGTTGAATGCCAGGGCTGCAGATCGGTGGGCAAGAGGGAGAAACCTTTTACTCTAGAGACTGGAGCATGAGGAGCTGCTTCAGGACCTTGGTCTGACTGGTTTCCCTGATCTCTCCTGCCAAGAACATTTCGTCCACCACAGTGTACACCTTGAAACACAGAAAGTAGGTCAGACCCTGACACAAGGATACTCAGGTTGATGATGTCATAATGCTAACAATACGATAAACAACGTGTGGCTTTGGCTAGAGACTATGTCCTTGAGCCACTTATCAGTAGTAGCAAAATGTCAAACAAATGACTGATATATAAGGAGGAGGTCATTGGGTCACTGTATGTACCAAAGGTCCTAAAAACCCTGATATAGCAACCATTTGAAATACCAGGAGGTTTTCATTAAAAGTCAGGTGGTTCCTCCACAGAAACTGAACCCCAGGATATCTATCCCCTAACCTAAGAGACGACCCAGGTCTCTGAATGTTCCTGTGCCAATAGGAATGGTTAAAGGACCCTCTGCTCAAACCTTGCAGAAGATTTGGTAATGTTTAAATACTGCAACAAAAATTTAATGAGTAATTTTTAGAAATCTTCAATAAACTTTAAAGCAGTGTAATTTCTTCCCTTTGTTCCCAAAATGTTACAAACCGCACCGACTAACAGCCCTTTTTACACAGTGATAAGCTGCAACAACTAAAGGAGTTCAAGGATTTTAGCTTCAGAGTTGGATTCTGATATCTGTAATAGCATAAACAAATATCACCACAGTATCAACGTGAAAATAATCTTACCTTGTAAAAGTTGAACACAAGGTCCAGTTCACACACATTGTGAAAATATTCATTCAGCACCTTTAAGAGAAACAGAGAGGAACAGGGAAAAAATGTCAAATCTATGTGCTTATTAAAATAAGCCAAGAATATTGAGGAGAAAAAAGATCTCTTCATCAATCTGCATAAGTGCCGATTGCGTTCCTTTCATATTATACTTTAATGCCGCTATTCATCATAGAGAAGTGATTGAAAAGCTGCAGCACACAGAAAATATCAGCGCCTTTACAAGACGGCACCGCATCAAGTGGGCTATAATGCATGATTTAGTGTAAATTATGCAAATGGGACAAAATTATTTTTCAAATCCAAATCATTTTGGGACAGCAGTAATCTGCTGGGTTTTCTTAGATAGGAAGTTTTTAAACAGTCTGTTAGTATGATTTTACTGGATCTACTCCCCTAAAGAGCCCAGTGATGAGAAAAGAAAAGAGACAGAAAAAAAGAAAAATGAAAACAGAAGAAACATAAACAGGAGTTAAGAGTTTGATTTTATACATTAATAGAGTGTAAAGTTTTCTAACCATGTTATTGTTAGACTCTAAATTTACATTTAGAGTTTTAGAGCCTTTACAGAGAGAAAAATTAGTTTCCCCTTCATTCTTTTACTTCTATGACAATGACTTTGCAAGGAACAGAACGAGGCTGATAATGTTTTCTTCAGGGACACAAACATTTCTGGGGTGTAACATCAATCGTTTCTCCCCTCTTTTAGATTTTTTTTCCTGGTTGCGTATTGTAACCGTCCCGAGGTCTGAGTCAGATATTAAGGCCTGCAGCACCTGTTCAGGCATCAGCAGAGTCCTGTGCAGCAGTTTGAGGTGCAGCTAAGACCCTGCCTGAAAAAAAGAAGGAGTAAATGCACTTTCCTCTAAATTTTTTGTCAGACAGAGAACCCTTCATCAGCATCAAAGAAAAAAATTTTTTTTTTTAAATCAATAAAAATAGAAAGAAATAATAGTTCAAGTTTTATAGTCAACATAAAAAAAAGGGGGGGGGGGGTTCTCTTGAGACATTCCTGGAAAGCATCAGACCACAACAACTAAATCATCACAGTTCACCTCCTCTGTCTATACACCACACGAGTTTCAGTTACCTCTACAAAGTTGTGGATGGCTTCGAGGTATGCCAGGTTGTTATCCGTCACGTCCACACAGATGCAGAAGTAGAGACCAGCGTACCGCCGGTAAATGATCTTGAAGTTCCTGAACTGTGAGAGAAAAAGGGACTCAATTTTTCAGTAATTAAAAAAGTAGCAAAGCCCTTATTTAAAAAAAAAAA